TAAGGTTACATATATCATATTGTAGTAAATGGTACAGTATTGACCACCAATATATATATTAAGGTTACATATATCATATTGTAGTAAATGGTACAGTATTGACCACCAATAGATATAGTAAGGTTACATATATCATATTGTAGTAAATGGTACAGTATTGACCACCAATAGATACAGCTAGGTTACATCTATCATATTGTAATAAAGGGTACAGTATTGACCACCAATAGATATAGTGAGGTTACATATATTGTAGTAAATGGTACCGTATTGACCACCAATAGATATAGTGAGGTTACATATATCATATTGTAGTAAATTGTACAGTATTGGCCATCAATAGATATAGTAAGGTTACATATATCATATTGTAATAAATGGTACAGTATTGACCACCAATAGATACAGCTAGGTTACATATATCATATTGTAATAAATGGTACAGTATTGACCACCAATAGATACAGCTAGGTTACATATATCATATTGTAATAAATGGTACAGTATTGACCACCAATAGATACAGCTAGGTTACATATATCATATTGTAATAAATGGTACAGTATTGACCACCAATAGATATAGTGAGGTTACATATATCATATTGTAGTAAATGGTACAGTATTGACCACCAATAGATATAGTAAGGTTACATATATCATATTGAAGTAAATGGTACAGTATTGACCACCAATAGATATAGTAAGGTAACATATATCATATTGTAGTAAATGGTACAGTATTGGCCACCAATAGATATAATAGGGTTACATCTATCATATTGTAAAAAAGGGTACAGTATTGACCACCAATAGATATAGTAAGGTTACATATATCATATTGAAGTAAACTGTACAGTATTGACCACCAATAGATATAGAATTTATGGTTACATATATCCTATTGTAGTAAATGGTACCGAATTAACCATCAATAGATATAGTAAGGTTACATATTTCATATTGTAGTAAATGGTACAGTATTGACAACCAATATATATAGTATTTATGGTTACATATATCATATTGTAGTAAATGGTACAGTATTGACCACCAATAGATATAATAAGGTTACATATATCATATTGTAGTAAATAGTACTGTATTGGCAACCATTAGATAAAGTAAGGTTACATATATCTTATTGTTGCTAATGGTACAGTATTGACCGTTTTTATTAATACAGCTTTGGTGTCTGTAAAATACTTCTTGTAATAGTTTTAGGAAATAATGCAATAATTTTCCCTGCAGTATTTGGTTTGTACGGATATATGGAACTGTAGAGCTAAAGACAAGCTAGTGATATTAGTTTGTATGGATATCGAACTGTAGAGCTAAACACAAGCTAGTCATATTAGTTTGTATGGAGATAGGGAACTGTAGAGCTAAACACAAGCTAGTCATATTAGTTTGTACAGAGATAAGGAACAGTACAGCTTAACACAAGCTAGGGATATTGGTTTGTACAGAGATAAGGAACAGTACAGCTTAACACAAGCTAGGATATTGGTTTGTACGGAAATAATGAACTGTACAGCTAAACACAAGCTTGGAATATTGGTTTGTAAGGAGATATGGAACTGTAGAGCTAAACACAAGCTAGGGATATTGGTTTGTATGGAGAGAGGGAACTGTAGGGCTAAACAAAAGCTAGTGATATTAATTTGTATGGAGATAGGGAACTGTAGAGCTAAACACAAGCTAGTGATATTGGTTTGTACGGAGATAGGGAACCGTACAGCTAAACACAAGCTAGGGATATTTGTTTGTATGGAGATATGGAACTGTAGAGCTAAACACAAGCTAGGGGTATTGGGTTGTACGGAGATATGAAACTGTAGAGCTAAACACAAGCTAGCGATATTGGATTGTATGGAGATAGGGAACAGTACAGCTAAACACAAGCTAGGGTTATTGGTTTGTACGGAGATATGAAACTGTAGAGCTAAACACAAGCTAGGGATATTGGTTATACAGAGATAAGGAACAGTACAGCTAAACACAAGCTAGGGATATTGGTTTGTATGGAGATATGGAACTGTAGAGCTAAATACAAACTAGTATTATTGGTTTGTATGGAGATATGGAACAGTACAGCTAAACACAAGCTAGGGATATTGGTTATACAGAGATAGACAACAGCACATCTAAACACACACGCTAGGGTTATTGGTTTGTACGGAGATAGGGAACAGTACAGCTAAACACAAGCTATGGTTATTGGTTTCTACGGAGATAGGGAACAAACAGTACAGCTCAACACAAGCTAGGGTTATTGGTTTGTACGGAGATAATGAAAAGTGAAGATAAACACAAGCTAGGGTTATTGGTTTGTACGGAGATAGGGAACAGTACAGCTAAACACAAGCTAGGGTTATTGGTTTGTACGGAGATAGGGAAAAGTGAAGATAAACACAAGCTAGGGTTATTGGTTTGTACGGATATATGGAACTGTAGAGCTAAACACAAGCTACGGATATTGGTTATACAGAGATAGGGAACAGTACAGCTAAACACAAGCTAGGGATATTGGTTTGTATGGAGATATGGAACTGTAGAGCTAAACACAAGCAAGTGATATTGGTTTGTATGGAGATATGGAACTGTAGAGCTAAATACAAGCTAGGGTTATTGGTTTGTATGGAGATATGGAACAGTACAGCTAAACACAAGCTAGGGCTATTGGTTTGTATGGAGATATGGAACTGTAGAGCTAAACACAAGCTAGTGATATTGATTTTTACGGAGATAGGAAAAAGTGAAGCTAAACACAAGCTAGTGATATTGGTTTGTATGGCGATAGGGAACAGTAGAGCTAAACACAAGCTAGGGTTAATAATGTGTTTGTAGATATACAACAGTAATAGCAAAACAAATTATGAATATCAATGTGTATAGTGCAGCTAGACACAGCACTTTATGGTATCACATATGAGTGTTAATATTTGCATTAAATTTGGAAATTGAGCGTTAGGGACATGTACTCACGGTATTTCATATACAATTATCATAGTTACACACTAATAATGGCCTATTTCCATAGGGTTTGTCTTTGGATGAAATTTATTTGATTAAACATGACCAAAACCTAAGTCTGTGTGGGATAAAGGTGATCTATAGCGTTATAACGAACTTTGCTTGGATAAAATGGTGAAAAATAAGTTTTATGAATTTATTGTGGAATCAAATCAAACTTAAACAACAGGCCCTTTGCAGTCTGGATATTTGGAAAACAAACAGTTTACATCGATTACGATACAGCAAATGGTCGCCTCATGCCTTTAAATAATGAGAAAGCATTCGGTGTTAAGTGTACAACGTACGCATGTGATGTGGCTTCGATCGTCAATTGTTTCGTTAATTAATAGCGACAGTGTTTTCAATTGTTCTTTCCGTAATCCAATTAACAATTGCATTCTTTTGCAGATTGATATCATAGTTGATAGCCAAATGTCAAGAATGGTATTTGTTAGCAGCGAACAGTGGGTTGAAGACATAAAAGACAAAGTCACAGGGTGAGTTTTAATTCATTATTAAAACATTTTAATCTAAAAATAAACGAAAGAATCATATATCTTTTTGTTATTTACAAATGAAAGTTACAACATATCAGACCATGAATATAAGGTCATTTGGAAAAAGTAAGCCCTGAATTATATTTGTATTGGTGTCTTGTAGCATAAAATTCACACTGTTCTTCTCTTAAAGAAATTATTGGCAAAACAACATATTTTTCTCTCTTAAAATGGACGTTTTCAATGAATTTCAACAACACTACCAAACTAATCTTGGTGTGATTATATGGATATATCTTCCAGGATCAAAGCTGTATGGCCATGCAAGTTATGTGGGTGTCTGCAGCCCGTATACTGAGTTGCTTTACACGTTTTAGGTCGACACTTTTTGTTAAAAGGTTAATTTCGTTATGCGCGGTTTTTACAAAACTGTAAATAAACACATGCAACTATATATCAAAATTACGTGGACAACTGGTATTATAAGTAAATGTAATTTTATTGTAACTTTAAAGTTACCCAGAAACTGGAACCCACCAAATATTTTCTGTCTTTTCCAGGGAATTGACCAATCTGACCGGGTACACTTTCGTGCCGGACGAGGTCAGTGCATACATGAAAGACGACGGCAGTATGGATGTTACTCAGTAAGTACATGCCTGTTCAGTTAATTGATGTTACTCTGTAAGTACATGTCTGTACATTGTATTGATGTTTCTCGGTAAGTACATGTGTATACAGTATATTGATGTTACCCAGTAAGTACATGTCTAAACATTGTATTGATGTTTATCGGTAAGTTCATGTCTGTACAGTATATTGGTGTTACTCAGTAAGTACATGTCTGTACAGTATATTGGTGTTACTCAGTAAGTACATGTCTGTACAGTATACTGATGTTACCCAGTAAGTACATGTCTATACAGTATATTGATGTTATTCAGTAAGTACAGGTCTGTACAGTATATTGGTGTTACTCAGTAAGTACATGTCTGTACAGTATATTGATGTTATCAGTAAGTACATGCCTGTACAGTATATTGATGTTACTCAGTAAGTACATGTCTTTACAGTATATTGATGTTAATCAGTAAGTACATGTCTGTACAGTGTATTGATGTTACCAGTAAGTACATGTGTATACAGTATATTGATGTTATCAGTAAGTAAATGTCTGTACAGTATATTGATGTTACCCAGTAAGTACATGTGTATACAGTATATTGATGTTATCAGTAAGTAAATGTCTGTACAGTATATTGATGTTACCCAGTAGGTACATGTCAGTACAGTATATTGATGTTATCAGTACATGTCTTTACAGTATATTGATGTTATCAGTAAGTACATGCCTGTACAGTATATTGATGTTACTCAGTAAGTACATGTCTGTACAGTATATTGATGTTACCCAGTAGGTACATGTCAGTACAGTATATTGATGTTATCAGTACATGTCTTTACAGTATATTGATGTTATCAGTAAGTACATGTCTGTACAGTATATTGATGTTACTCAGTAAATACATGTCTGTACAATATATTGATGTTACTCGGTAAGTACATGTCTGTACAATATATTGATGTTATCAGTAAGTACATGTCTGTACAGTATATTGATGTTACTCAGTAAGTACATGTCTGTACAGTATATTGATGTTACTCAGTAAGTACATGTCTGTACAGTATATTGATGTTACTCAGTAAGTACATGTCTGTACAGTGTATTGATGTTACTCAGTAAGTACATGTCTGTACAGTGTATTGATGTTACTCAGTAAGTACATGTCTGTAGAGTATATTGATGTTATCAGTAAGTACATGTTTGTACAGTATATTGATGTTATCAGTAAGTACATGTCTGTACAGTATATTGATGTTACTCGGTAAGTACATGTCTGTACAGTATATTGATGTTACTCGGTAAGTACATGTCTGTACAGTATATTGATGTTACTCGGTAAGTACATGTCTGTACAGTATATTGATGTTACTCGGTAAGTACATGTCTGTACAGTATATTGATGTTACTCGGTAAGTACATGTCTGTACAGTATATTGATGTTACTCGGTAAGTACATGTCTGTACAGTATATTGATGTTACTCGGTAAGTACATGTCTGTACAGTATATTGGTGTTATCAGTAAGTACATGTCTGTACATTATATTGATGTTACTCGGAAAGTACATTTCTGTACAGTATATTGATGTTACTCGGAAAGTACATTTCTGTACAGTATATTGATGTTACTCGGTAAGTACATGTCTGTACAGTATATTGATGTTACTCGGTAAGTACATGTCTGTACAGTATATTGGTGTTATCAGTAAGTACATGTCTGTACATTATATTGATGTTACTCGGTAAGTACATGACTGTACAGTATATTGGTGTTATCAGTAAGTTCATGTCTGTACATTATATTGATGTTATTCGGAAAGCACATGTCTGTACAGTATATTGGTGTTACTCAGTAAGTACATGTCTGACAGTATATTGATGTTACTCGGTAAGTACATGTCTGTACAGTGTATTGATGTTACTCGGTAAGTACATGACTGTACAGTATATTGGTGTTACTCAGTAAGTACATGTCTGTACATTATATTGATATTACTCGGAAAGTACATTTCTGTACAGTATATTGATGTTATCAGTAAGTACATGTCTGTACAGTATATTGATGTTATTCGGAAAGTACATGTCTGTACAGTATATTGATGTTATCAGTAAGTACATATATTTACAGTATATTGATGTTATCAGTAAGTACATGTCTGTACAGTATATTGATGTTATCAGTAAGTACATATATTTACAGTATATTGATGTTATCAGTAAGTACATGTCTGTACAGTATATTGATGTTACTCTGTAAGTACATGTCTTTACAGTATATTGATGTTATCAGTAAGTACATGTCTGTTCAGTATATTGATGTTATTCGGTAAGTACATGTCTGTACAGTATATTGATGCTATCAGTAAGTACATGTCTGTACAGTATATTGATGTTACACGGAAAGTACATGTCTGTACAGTGTATTGATGTTATCAGTAAGTACATATCTGTACAGTATATTGATGTTATTCGGAAAGTACATGTCTGTACAGTATATTAATGTTACTCGGAATGTATATGTCTGTACAGTATATTGATGTTATCAGTAAGTACATGTCTGTACATTATATTGATGTTGCTCGGTATGTACAGGTCTATACAGTATGTTGATGTTACTAAGTAATTCATGTCTGTACAGTATATTGATGTTACTCAGTAAATACATGTTTGTACATTATATTGATGTTACTCGGTAAGTACATGTCTGTACAGTATATTGATGACAGTATATTGATGTTACTCATTAAGTACATGTCTGTACAGTATATTGATGTTATCAGTAAGTACATGTCTGTACAGTATATTGATGTTACTCGGTATGTACAGGTCTGTACAGTATATTGATGTTACTCATTAAGTACATGTCTGTACAGTATATTGATGTTTCTAAGTAAATCCATGTCTGTACAGTATATTGATGTTACTCGGTAAGTACAGGTCTGTACAGTATATTGATGTTTCTAAGTAAATCCATGTCTGTACAGTATAGTGATGTTACTCAGTTAGTACATGTCTGTACAGTATATTGATGTAACACGGTTAGTACATGTCTGTACAATACATTGATGTTACTCAGTAAGTACATGTCTGTACAGTATAGTGATGTTACTCGGTAAATACGTATCTGTACAGTATATTGATGTTACTCAGTTAGTACATGTCTGTACAGTATATTGATGTCACTCGGTAAGTACATGTCTGTACAGTATATTGGTGTTACTCAGTTAGTTCATGTCTGTACAATATATTGATGTTACTCGGTAAGTACATGTCTATACAGTATATTGATGTTACTCAGTAGGTACATATATGTACAGTATATTGATGTTACTCGGTAAGTACAGGCCTGTACAGTATATTGATGTAACTCAGTAAATACATGTCTGTACAGTATATTGATGTTATCAGTTAGGACATGTCTGTACAATATGTTGATGGTATCAGTAATGACATGTCTGTACAGTATATTGGTGGTATCAGTAAGAACAGGTCTGTACAGTATCTTGATGTTACTCGGTAAGTACATGTCTGTACAGTATATTGATGTAACTCAGTAAATACATGTCTGTAGAGTGTATTGATGTTATCAGTAAGGACATGTCTGTACAGTATATTGATGTTATCAGCAAGGACATATCTGTACAGTATATTGATGTAACTCTGTAAGTACAGGTCTGTACAGTATATTGATGTTACTCTGTAAGTACAGGTCTGTACAGTATATTGATGTTATCAGTAAGAACAGGTCTGTACAGTATATTGATGTTACTCAGTAAGTACTTGTCTGTACAGTATATTGATGTTTCTCTGTAAGTACAGGTCTGTAAAGTTTATTGATGTTACTCAGTGAGTACCTGTCTGTACAGTATATTGATGTTACTCGGTAAGTATAGGTCTGTACAGTGTATTGACGTTACTCAGTAAGTACATGTCTGTACAGTATATTGATGTTACTCTGTAAGTACATGTCCGTACAATATATTGATGTTACTAAGTAAATCCATGTCTGTACAGTATATTGATGTTATAAGTAATTACATGTCTGTACAGTATATTGACGTTACTCAGTACATGTACGTACATGTCTGTGCAGTATATTGATGTTACACGGTTAGTACATGTCTGTACAGTACATTGATGTTACTCAGTAAGTACATGTCTGTACAGTATAGTGATGTTACTCGGTAAATACGTATCTGTACAGTATATTGATGTTACTCAGTAAGTACATGTCTCTACAGTATATTGATGTTACTCAGTTAGTACATGTCTGTACAGTATATTGATGTCACTCGGTAAGTACATGTCTGTACAGTAGTATATTGGTGTTACTCAGTTAGAACATGTCTGTACAGTATATTGATGTTACTCGGTAAGTACATGTCTGTACAGTATATTGATGTTACTCAGTAATTACATGTCTGTACAGGATATTGATGTTACTCAGTAAGTACATGTCCGTACAGTGTATTGATGGTATCAGTAAGTTAATTTCTTCAGACCTTTTAATAGCACTATCGGGTAACAAAACGTTGATGTTCATATCGAACAAACAAATGACCAACAATAAAATTTCCGAGTGAAATCATTACACGTCTTAGTGATGTCTCCATGTCGGTTATGCCTAGAGGCCTGTTTACAGTTTAGGTCATACAAAGACGTGCCTCCGTGTGTGTATTGTATGCATTTATGTTGAATGGTTCGCACCTATCAGTCAAGCAGCAAGCTATGTCATAGTACGATAGTACGATAGTCAATAAAAACCAGAAAGACATAATGATTGAAAATGGCCGTTTTTATTAAAACGACATAACATAAAAAAACATGTACGACATAACATAAAATACATGTTACAATGCATGTATTGAACACCCTCCTGAGAAGGTGTACCATAGACTGCATTTCATAATCAAATGCAATGCCATTCTCCTAATGACTATAGTAGGTGAGGGGACAAAAAAACGCCCAAACCTTGAATAACTGTTAAACATACCATGAGTATTATGACATCATATAAAATTAGAGGTGTAAGGGGACGGTGGCGGGAAGAAATCAATGTTTAAAATAGCGCCCTACCTTTCTGCCCGTGAAGAAGTTTTCAAGTGACGTTTAGCTAGATCACGTGATCATATATTCATACGCATGTGCGTCCTGTTCACCTTGCTCACTAGGATAATTTATTCTAGGGAATTCTTGGGAATTCTTGGAAAGAATCCCAAAATAAACCGTTACCACCAACATAAATGCAATAAAATACTTTCTGTATTTAATTGTTGTTTTATGTTGAATGGTTCGCACCTATCAGTCAAGCAGCAAGCTATGTAATAGTACGATAGTCAATAAAAATCAGAAAGACATAATGATTGAAAATGGCCGTTTTTATTAAAACTACATAACATAAAAATACATGTACGACATAACATAAAATACATGTTACAATACATGTATTGAACACCCTCCTGAGAAGGTGTACCATAGACTGCATTTCATAATCAAATGCAATGCCATTCTCCTAATGACTATAGTAGGTGAGGGGACAAAAAAAACGCCACCTTGCACATTGAGCCCTTTCATGGATAGTCTACCACACCAATGAAATGTCTCAATGATGCAGCCCCCACCCAGGCTGCTGACTGTAATTCAATGAATGACTAGATACATTATGTACAGTGCACAACAATAAAAATGAAAATAAGAAATAAAATAAAAATAATTGTAATTAAGCAGCAGAAGTACATTACTTCAGGTTGCAAAAGTGCCTCCACGAGATTGGAGATACTTGAAGTCGCGATGTTTAGTCATAACACAAACTATGTACATTTCATTATGCTGAAATATTAACACAGACCAGCGAATGTTCTTGCTGTGACACTATGTCCAAAGTTATGTTCCTGTGTTGTCCTTGGTTGACCTCAAGTTCCTGACTGAAATGTTCGATTGGAACTGAAGCCTTTATGGTGGAGTTGTTCAAACGATCACGCCTCCTGCGTTGCATTAAACAAAAAGGTACACCAGCTCATAGACACCAAGTTATAAAATATAACCGTTACTATTATTGTTACATTGATGGAGACAGGCAAATCCAGAAATATAAACATACATAAAATAGTGAAGTACAATAAAATCAACAAAAACATAAATACATAAAAATACTTATGACAATAATCTTATGTAGACAGTAATGTAATGGTGAGAATGCCCTGCATCCAACACCAAATTTTGAGCTACACTTATGTAATAATGTTTGTTCAGACTACACATGAATAAGTCACTATCAATGATATATTAGAAACTCAGTACTCTACCGGGAAAGCTGCCAGGAATGCCATGCATTCAATGCAGTTTTGGTAAATACTTTACACTTGAAAAGTTGGGATGCGTATATATCTTTTGAAAGCGTTTGAATGCCATCTGCCCATTGCCTGAATATCTGCTTCTGAAACCCCTTGAGCAGCTGCTGTACTAGCAGCCCCTATTCTGAAGCTGTGACTTCTGTACTGGTTCGGACTGTAACCTGACACCATCAAAGCTTGCTTCAGCACATTACAGAAACACTGATATGAAACCGCTTTGGTATTAGGCTGTACATATAACGGACCTTCATTGGAACCCCTTAATTCTAAGTAATGAAATAATGTTTGTACGGGACAAAATTGGACATCCTGTTTTGCGCAAAGTGACAAAGTCACTGGAGAGCTGTTGTAGTGGCCCTTGAATGAATGGAAGCATATTTCGAGCCGGGAAGGGTAGACTGACCCAAGTTTGAAAAACTGTACATTACTGAGTAGCAGGATGTTCCGTGTGTTGTTATTATGAGTAATTTCGCCAATGCGCAAGAATGCATGAAAAGCCAGCAAGAACATGGATTTGAACATGAGCTTTTCGTAATAAGACACGCAAGTTTGGTCAAACGTTTTGCGTTGTGAAACAGTCCCTGACCTTTCGTAACTATTACGTGCGCATGCGTGGTAGGAAAAGCTTCGAAGTAAACAAAGGATCTCTATCATAATGCATTTTGAGACGACCCCTTACCCGTCAAATAATTCTGGCCTGTTCAGATATGCCCAACTCTGATGTGTAAATTGTGATACCAAGACATAAACATTTTACTGACTTACTGTGTGCGTAATCTCTTTGATCTTTCTAAAAGAAGTAAGTACTGCCCCTCGGACGCTCCGGATATATTTTGGCAATCCGTGATCATTGTTCAGATGGACCCCATCGTTAAGAAACACTTTGTATATGCTCGCTTTAAGTCCTTTATGTTTATGGTAGGACACATAGTGAAGCTCACTGATCAAGCCTTTCAATGTTCTATTTACTTCACGGGCCGATTCATTATATCGATCAACCGAGACGTGTCTGGTCTTTTCCCTAGGGAGATTTTGCATAACACAAACATGGCGGACTGAGTGTCCAAACGATAGCCATCCTGCAATTGACACAATATCCCTGGCAATAACAGCAGGATCGACGTTCACATCGTCTATGTCATTGCCTCCAATCTGGAGAATAACGATGTCAGGCTTCACATTTACTATAATACTTGAAAAGTCCTCCGAGAACATATCGCGCACTCTACCTCCACCTTTCCCTTTGAAATCTATCAACACTTCACTTCCGTCTAAACGGAGATTTTCCAACCCAAATTCCGATGGTTAACCGCATCACTGAGCCTTCTCACATAGCTATGCCCCATAACCAACACATTGACACGCATGACTCAGTTATATTGTGACCCGGAAGGCAAACAAACGGTCAGGAAGTGCAAATAAATCAATGTTTAAAATAGTGCCCTACCTTTCTGCCCGTGAAGAAATTTTCCAAGGGACGCTTAGCTAGATCACGTGATCATATATTCATACGCATGTGCGTCCTGTTCACCTTGCTCACTAGGAAAATATATTCTAGGGCCAAAAGAAAGAATCCCAAAATAAACCGTTACCACCAACATAAATGCAATAAAATACTTTCTGTATTTAATTGTTGTTTTATATGTATATGCGTGTTGGAGGAAGTATTTTGGGTTATTTACCTCCATGCAAATCTGATTCATTTTAGAATACTACCTTACAGAAACAACATCATTAAGGCACCAATCACGATATACCATGCAGTCAAATTATACTGATAACTGGTTAACGAGTTGCTGCTATTGCCCGAAATGCCGAACGTTAGCAGGGAATGCCAACTACGTGTAGCGTAACATCTATAGGATTTTGATATTTCCCAGTCTTGCCAACGGAGGCATTAGGAAACGAAAAGGTTGTCATGGAAAAGACATGAAATCTAATTTTAAATATCTCAAAGTTTGCAATCGGTGCAGTGATTTATTTTGGTCGTTTTTGTGTACCAAAGAAGAGGACACCAATGTCTATTCCCATATCACATTTCAGCAGGTGGTTCCCTCTTACAAATACAATGGTAACCTCAGGTTAATTCATATACCAATTCCCGACCTGAGGGGTGGGACTGGTTTATACCGCTATACGAGGATATATCATTTTCGTTGTTTATCCGTCTGTCCGGTAACTATTTTAGGATATTATGAATTTCATTGATAAACAAAATACGCAATACTATAATGATGTACGTGCCATTACCATTAACGTAGGTTTTATACCTCTTTGTTGGATATTTATACGATTTATAACTGTATTACAGGTCTGTTCTCACGTTTTATGTGAAGGAACTAAAAACTGGCAGGATCCTTACTGCGAAAGAAATAACAGAGTACGTACTTACTATTTTTATCTTTAAAAGAGTGCTTTTACCCTAAAATTTGAAGAAATGCACGTGATACCAATAAGATATTGCCATGAATGGGATTTATAAACCAGTCTGCTATAACGGCCTTTCTGTAGCTCTTTTGTTTTCTATTGTTTATTTAGTTTGGTGGACAAATTCGGCAGCAGACTTATAGAAGCAAGGATTAGATATCAACTAGTATCCATTGAGGTAATATTCTATAATTTACTAGCCTCTCTAACATGTTGATTAGTCAGATAAGATATAAACTAGTATCCATTGAGGTAATATTCTATAATCTACAAGCCTTTCTAACATGTTGGTTAGTTAGATAAGATATCAACTAGTATCCATTGAGGTAATATTCTATAATCTTCTAGCCTCTCTAACAATTTGGTTGGTTAGATAAGATATCAACTAGTACCCATTGAGGTAATATTCTATAATCTACAAGCCTCTCTAACATGTTGGTTAGTTAGATGAGATATTAACTAGTATCCATTGAGGTAATATTCTATAATCTACTAGCCTCTCTAACATGTTGGTAATTTGTTAAGCAGATCATAATGAATTTATTCCTCTCAATAAAAAAACTACCGAAATATACTCAAATTTTACTATTTATGATAAAATACTAAGAGATCTTCGTGAGGATAAACCAAAAATATAACAACAATAGTGACATTGTCTGTAGGCCGTTCAGATCTAAAGAGGGTTTTTGGAAGAGATGTCATGATTAAATTACACAACAATGAATTATGTCAAACAATAGCATGACGTCGTAGTTGACATTAACATAAAGCCATAACGTCAAACAACAATTAGGTAAGGGAGATAACTTGTTACAATGAATCAGTAACATGTATTAAAGATTTCTGCAGCAAATATTGAAAAATGTAAACTGAATATACTTAAATAACTATCAAGGCCGGGTTTCAATAATCTAATAAACGACTCTTTGGATTCCCTTTTAATAACATCAGAAGAATACATAAGGTATTAAATCTCAATGGATAATGGGGAGACAGATTTTATGAAGCGCGAATCAGTTTTATCTGATTTGTCTCAGGACCCATTAGGGGTACTAATCAATAAACTCTCAACATAACAGGGTTAAATCCTTTTATTTACATTCACAACGATTTAAATAATAATTTCATATTTTCTAAAATATCGGACTTGTGCAAGTCAAATAACAATGAAGTTGACGGAGCTTGTTACGTCCTCATTCATTGTAGGACGTCATTCCTATAAGATAGATAGCTGTTTTGTTTGGGATATAGTGTTAAAGTAATAGTACGTGTACATCCATGTCTATTTCAATCAGAAACCTATGAAACAAAGTACATTAGAAGCAATCTTTGAGTGGGACTACATCCCTCATTTATTTACCTTTGTATTTATATGCAAACTGGAAAGTTTAGGAATTAAAAATATACATTGAGTCCAAGTTCAGTAAAATGAAAATATAAAGATATAACCTAGAATTCATTGTTTGTTCAATTGTGGATATCATTATGGGTTGTTTGTCTCTGAAGTTGAATTCTGGTCTAGTTCAGGCGTAAACGATGCTACTGCTTTTGTTATATATTTCACTATACATCTGTACATGTATATACATTCAATTAACTCTTTCCGTACCGTTGTCGTGTACATACAACAACAATATGTCATCCTTGTCCCCGTTTTCGTGTACAGACGACAAAATAATAGGCCGTCTTATCCCCGTTGTCGTAAACACACGACAACAGACTTTGGTGTATCTTGTCTTATGTTTAGCTAGTTATCGCACACGACAATCCCGTAATACAATCATTTATCAGCACCCATCAGTTGGAAAGAAATAGTTGTATAGGTGCACAATTTATATTTTGTGACCTATTGTTTTCGAATCTGCCGCAAGATGTTTCAAATATAAACAATATGGCGGCAACTTAATTCGATATGAACACTCGGAAATTCATCGGGGGCGAGTCTAGAAAGGACATCCGGTACGGAATCCGGATGTGAGGTACGGAAAGAGTTAAGGACACCATAAATGTATCTATGTTTACATACCTTGGCAGGTTATAAGACACCGTAAATGTATCTATGTTAACATACCTTGACAGGTTATAATACACCGTAAATGTATCTATGTTAACATACTTTGACAGGTTATAAGACACCGTAAATATATCTATGTTAACATACATTGACAGTTAATAAGACACCGTAAATGTATCTATGTTAACATACTTTGACAGGTTATAAGACACCGTAAATGTATCTATGTTAACATACATTGACAGTTTGTAAGACACCGTAAATGTATCTATGTTAACATACCTTGACAGTTTATAAGACACTCTAAATGTATCTATGTTTACATACCTTGACAGGTTATAAGACACCGTAAATGTATCTATGTTTACATTCATTGACAGGTTATAAGACACCGTAAACGTATCTATGTTAACATACTTTGACAGGTTATAATACACCGTTAATGTATCTATGTTTACATACCTTGACAGGTTATAAGACACCGTAAATGTATCTATGTTAACATCCCTGGACAGGTTATAAGACACCGTAAATGTATCTATGTTTACATTCATTGACAGGTTATAAGACACCGTAAATGTATCTATGTTAACATACCTTGACAGGTTATAAGACACCGTATATATAAATATGTTTACATACCTTGGCAGTTTATAAGACACCGTAAATGTATCTATGTTTACATACCTTGACAGGTTATAAGACACCGTAAATGTATCTATCTTAACATACTTTGACAGGTTATAAGACACCGTAAATGTATCTATGTTTACATACCTTTACAGGTTATAAGACACCGTAAATGTATCTATTTTAACATACCTTGACAGGTTATAAGACACCGTTAATGTATCTATGTTAACATACCTTGACAGGTTTAAGACACCGTAAATGTATCTATGTTAACATACATTGACAGGTTATAAGACAACGTAAATGTATCTATGTTAAGATACCTTGACAGGTTATAAGACGCTGTAAATGTATCTATGTTTACATACCTTGACAGGTTATAAGACGCTGTAAATGTATCTATGTTTACATACCTTGACAGGTTATATGACGCCGTAAATGTATCTATGTAAACATACCTTTGCAGGTTATAAGACACTGTAAATGTATCTATGTTTACAAACCTTGACAGGTTATAAGACACCGTAAATGTATCTATGTTTACATACCTTGACAGGTTATATGACACCGTAAATGTATCTATGTAAACATACCTTGGCAGGTTATAAGACACTGTAAATATATCTTTGTTAACATACCTTGGCAGGTTACAAAACATTGTAAATATATCTATGTTAACATACCTTGACAGGTTATAAGACACTGTAAATGTATCTATGTTTACATACCTTGACAGGTTATAAGACATCGTAAATGTATCTATGTTTACATACATTGACAGGTTTTAAGACACCGTAAATGTATCTATGTTAACATACCTTGACAGGTTATAAGACACTGTAAATGTATCTATGTTTACATACCTTGGCAGGTTATAAAACACTACCAAGTATTATATATACAAAATTTGATGATATAAGATCCTGTATCGATTTTGTTTTGACAAATCCAATCGATTTTTTCTTTCTATTAACTGCATCTAAAACAACAGATTTTCTGTTTTGCTGATAAAGCGACAGAAGAGTGTGTGATTGTTGTTTATACATGCACTACATTTTTAACAATACCATATTCTTGGTAACTTTACTGTTTGCAAAATCGTGGCCATAATATTTCGTTGTTGCATTTCAGAATGTAATAAATTAAAAAAAAAAAGGTTTTCCATTTGAATGTCGTTTATATATTTTGCTGGTATAATAGAATATAATTATACAATAGCATTAAATATCGGTAATCTGCAATACTAGTACAATATTTATGATATTCAACAGAATTCCATTACACGCTATATGTGTCAAAATAAATATATACAGTATATATTGAAAGTGAATATTAGTGTTTTGAAGAATTAACATATAAGAATGTACAAATGTTGGTAGTCTATTTGTATATTATAGACACTGAAGATTTATAAATATTGGAATATAATCCACCATAAATGTGACATTAGTGTAAATATATATTATAACGTATTTTGTTACACTTAAATTTCATACGGACTTTTTATTTCATAATTATACGGATCAAAACTTTTCTTAAATTGTAGATGCAACTTTATTCTTAGCATTTCAGAAGATAGCATCGTCAGTTAGAAAATGAGTTACTAGTGTCCACATATATGTCCAGAAATGTGTATAGCTGTGGATGGTTAAGTTAAATGATTTATTTTTGTATTAAAATTGACGTCCGACATAACATGTCTATATCTTTATAGATATATACAACCTGCGTACCGGCGTACCCGACTGCTTGCAATACTGAAGTGTCTGTAAAACGTGAGTATTTGAAATTTACAGCACAAAATAAAGTAAATTGGGAATATAATAATATGTATTGTAATCTACATGCATAATTAGTAATATGTATATATATATATATCTAACCTAATAACTGTGTAAAGGTTCATATACGTTGACACTGGAACGAGTTTATTTATGTCGATATGTTTTTCATTAAAATAAAATCAACCAGCCATCATTATAATTATCTTTCTATCATGATTTTGTTCGTGATTATTTTCTCGCTATCATGATAATTAAGTCTATTTTTCATGAAATTGAAATTACATGTACCTTCCACAATTATGTAGTTGTGTCCCATTATTGAAAAACATTGCTTGCACTACTCCTTTCCATCCACTGCACTGATTCGAAAGATACCCGATCCACATAATAGTTCCAATTGAGGAGACATGAATAAAATAAAAAGAAATGAATTGGCATTGCTATTTATGGAGTTAAATGTATAAACCTAGTTTAAAATCATTGTATTACTACTCTTCAATTGGTACATATTACTCTTACATTGAAAAAATGTCAATAATGCATATAGAGTGTTGTCACTTTGTTAAAAAAAAATTGTTTGCACTTCTCTTAAATTGCGCCATATATACCAATAACGCTTGCTTCACATAACCCTAACATCAAGGGAATGTCAATAATACATTGAATTGGAGTTTCTTCACTTTTTATTAAGTTATGCCCCTTTATTTCAAAACGTTTTTGGGAAATGGTCTCAACTTTCTTTGATGGGTGGGGGTATTAGACTGCCTTTATGGCGACAGTTCTAGTTTACTCTGGAGGTTGAACATGCGACTACGGTTCTGACGGTAAGTAATGTTTTTATTTACATTGATAATCATCTGACTTTATTGAACATTTTTATTCACTTATTGTATCTATCAGTGTAACTGTAATCTTTATTCTGTTTATCATATGTACTTTGATTATTATATGTATTTTGATTATGATATTATTATATGTATTTTGATTATGATATTATCATATGTACTTTGATTATTATATGTATTTTGATTATTATATGCATTTTGATTATTATATGTATTTTGATTATTATATGTATTTTGATTATTATATGTATTTTGATTATTATATGTATTTTGATTATTATATGTATTTTGATTATTATATGTATTTTGATTATTATATGTATTTTGATTATTATATGTATTTTGATTATTATATGTATTTTGATTATTATATGTATTTTGATTATTATATGTATTTTGATTATTATATGTATTTTGATTATTATATGTATTTTGATTATTATATGTATTTTGATTATTATATGTATTTTGATTATTATATGTATTTTGATTATTATATGTATTTTGATTATTATATGTATTTTGATTATTAAATATATATTTACGTTTGGTACACACGTAGTTGATCAGAGGCGGGTTTTTGGAAGTGTCGTGTTACATGCGTATTGCCTACTCAACAGCATACTGCTAGATGGAACCATTACCGAGGGACATGGCGGCTAGTAGCGGTGACAAAATATCTGATGCGACACTGTTATATTTAGCGTTTGAATGGTATACGATGTTTTGGTATGGTTCCCTTTAACGTTTGGTAGATATTATATTACTTATAATTTACTTTATATCGCGGTCCAAGATTAATGTAGTCTTTTAAATGATAACTCATAATTTCTTAATACTCTACCATAAGTTGGACCTTTTAATAAATATGAGAGTTTGTAAAAAGACAAACGTGTTTTTGCATGTACTGCCCATTTTGTTTTAATTCAGTGTTTTTGTTCACATTAGCGGGCTAGCTCATCGCCACGCCCCCTAACCCATAAAAGGCGATTGTCACATCCGGGTTCGTAGATCAGAGGTCAAAGCTCATGGGTCAGTTTAACTTGGCAGCTAAACATTTAGAAGATATTTTTTTCAGAAGATCGCCATCTTTATTTATACAGTCGCAGCAATTTATTTGAATTTTCAACATCTTGTGCTTGTTGGTTTGTCGTTTATGCATCAGTTTGCTTACGAACGACTGGTTGGTGATTTTGATCGAACATTTTGTTATCTCCGCAAAGAAATTTCGATCGGTGAAGCTTCCCAGGCATCAAAACTGTGAGCCAGCAACAGGATCAACAAAAAACAAGGCGGCGGTACGCACTCTAAAGGAACCGTTCCCCCAATGACGGCTGTGGAAGAAGCAAACAGACAGGGAAAGTAGACCTTTTGCTTTTATTGTCCCTTGTATGTAAGTAACGTTAAATCTGTAGTTTTTCGATTTGTCGATGGCGAATAAAACTGTGTTGGGTTTGGGGGCATAGCCTCATACGACGTATGGGACAATATTGTGACGAACAAACTTCCACCACCAATCTTGGTTTTTGCCAGGATTCGCACAGTATACAGATGGTTGGCTACTCAGGCGGTACCATTGACACATTACGACGATATATGGGCGACATTCATTTCTATCGACCCGACGTGATCTGTCTCCAAATAGCTGGGAGTGACCTGAGCCGTCCAGAACTTACCCCCGACGTTGTTTTTAAAAACTTTACTTCTTTGATAGAACAGTTGTTCGCTGCCCCATTTGTGCAATATGTGGTAGTGTTTGAACTTTTCACGCGTCTGAGAACTCGTTCTCATAGAGGTGATGTAGACATTCATGTGTATAACCAGAGAGTAAAAGAGTTAAACAGCAGGCTTTCTTCCGCCCTTGACGGGAGTGTTTTTTGTAAATTTTGGCGACATGACCGCATGGCAGATTTAACCCGACTGTATGACTCGGATGGGGTTCATTTTAAACGACAACACCCATATTTCAAGTCTGTCCGAGGTGGTGTTTTATTTGGACTGAAAGCGAGTGATATGGCCCCACAATTCTAGATAGACCGAGTAATGTTACAATGACTTTTCTTCGAGTTACCTCCCTTACAGCAGTAGACTTCAAGTCATATCATGAGAGACACTATATTTGTTACATTTTAGTGTTGTTGTTGTTTTATTTTCTTAAATATTGTTGCATATGTTCAGTTTTAAGCAATTAGTACCAATGAACATTTTGTAAGTTTAGATATTTTGTAAAACCTTGCCACATAATTTTAATCAATTCATATCAGTAATGTACTACACTGTTATACAGCATTAATCAAATTTATCATGATTTTATATCTGGTAAATTTAGATATTGTAATGGCATCAATGCCACTATATTTATTTTCTTTAAAAAATAAATAAATAATAGTATTGGCCCATGTGGGTTCATGATCAATAGAAAATCAGAAGGAATATATATATTACTGGCCTTTGGTTGTCAAAAACCTTCATCATTCAGATTTGTCACTGGCCCATAGTGGTTTCAGTTCAAAAGGCTTCAGTTGTGTTACTGGCCCATGATGGTTTCAGTATTTTTTCCAATTTTTCATTTTGTTATGCATGCATTGTACAGCAGCGTGGCTCATACCGGTGCTTACAGCAATGTACTCACTATTGCCAATACTTCCTACTTGTAGGTAGTCGGTATACATGGTATGTTCTCCCTGTCTGTCATGCTGGTTATAATGGAGTCAAAAAATAATTATTATTTACTATTATACAAATTTACAGTGTTGATTACATTTTTACATCTTTGAGTACATTGGTATATACTCCAACTGCTATAACATTAAAATTTCCTTCAATATTTTATATGTGGCTATACTACTAGAGCTATAATCTTATTTACACGTCACAATATACTGCAACAAATAATATGTCAAAATGTCTGCACATATATCCTGTTATGCACTTCAGACACCAGACAGTATGCGTCCGAGACGGAAGGCGGTAGCCAATCATTCGACAATCCCCAAAAGGTCTCGGTTGGCTGAGAGTGAAGTTGATACAGCTATCTCTGCCCAAACAGGTGCTCAAACCAGAGAAGTACCAGGTACAGCAGAAGTACAAGAAAACAGTGTCGCCTCTGGGCGAATGATACCCGAGGCGGACGGTGAACAAATTGTCCAGAGGGCTGTGCAGCAAGGTGTGGAAAAAGCCTGTAGACAGTTTTTCCCCCAAATTAACTTTAATGCAGCGGGGGCCGGTGCTGTCTCAACATTCTCACTGGCTGCCTCAACATCCTCAAGTTCATCAGCCCCTGCTGAGCCGCCTATCTCGACAGGTTTTTCTCCTATAGACAACACCGTTGGTGAGGGTCACAAAACACCAATATTCAGCTCAGTGTTACATAGTTCTATAGATGTGGCAGCAACTGTTTCACAGGTGGCCCCAGACGATGAGTCAAATCCACAGGCATTTATTTCAACAGCCATTCCCCTGCCAGTAATGGTTTCCCAGCCTATGAAAGAAAAATTTGGGCGGGGGAATATATTGATATGTCCCTGATTGATAAGAAGGATAATGAGGCCTTTGAACAGGTCATCAAGTACATGGCTGGGGTTCGTGTGGTTCAGTGGGTGCCTAAACTTAAAACCAAATCTCTGTCCATAGACCAGTGGACCAAAAGTTTGGGGCCCTCTTGAAATACATGTCAATCATACGCAAACTAGCCAGTAAAGGGGCTGATTGGCAGTTTTACGATACTTCATTTAGGCAGTTGCAGGCAAAAAACGGGGAGCAGGGCTGGGACCGTGTAGAGTGGGAACTTTGGCACGAGGCTATCATACGAAAAGCTGGGCAAACCTCACAACAGACAAAACAGTCGTTCACTCTCACACACCCAAAAGGTTTTTGTTTCAAATTTCTTGAGAGTAGAAATTGCCCTGGAGCGGAGGGGGGCTGTAAACATTTTCATGGCTGTCCAGCATGTCACGGCTCTCACCACCCCAGTAATTGCACTGCTTCCTCAGTAGCACCGCGGTCCCATGCGGGGTCCATACCTACTTTTCGTCCCCAACGCAACCAAAATCCATACACTCCACACCGCTTTCAACCATATGCCCCAAGACCACGTGGTTTCCCCAGAAATCGTTACCCCTATTATCGCCGATAGGCTCGCAGAGATGTTAGCAGGTTATGATAAAGACAAAACCCACTATCTTGTACAAGGTTTTACAGAAGGCTTTCACATTCATTATGATGGGGGGGATTTCAAACAAACATGTCAGAACCTTAAGTCTGCAAAAGATTTTCCCCATATTATTCAAGACAAACTTCAGAAAGAATTACAGGCAGGGCGTATTGATGGCCCCTTTACGTCTCCCCCCTACAATGAATTTCATGTCAGCCCCATTGGTGTGGTCCCTAAGAAAGATCCTGGTAAATATCGAATGATTCACCACCTTAGTCACCCAAAAGGTCTATCGATTAATGATGGAATCAGCACAGAGTCGTCAACGGTGCAGTACGCCACAATATCGGATGCAATTAAGCACATTAAACAGCTAGGC